AGGTACTTGTATCTTGAATACATAAAGAACTCATAACTCAATTTAAAAAAAGGAATAAAATGCTGACCTGCTACAATGTTGATGAACCTTGAAAACATTACTTTAAGTGAAAGAAGACAGTCACAAAGGACCACATGTTGTATTATTCCATTTATAGGACATGTCCAGAATCGGCAAACCTACAGAGACAGAAAGTAGGCTAGTGGTTGCCCAGAGCTTATGGAATGAGTGTTTGGGGGAAATGGGGAGTAACTTCTAATGGATGAGGAGTTTCTTTTGGGGGTGACCAAAATATTTTAAAATCAATTGTGGCTATGGTTGCATACCCTGTGAATAGACTAAAAACCATTGAATTGTACCCTTTACATGGGTAAATTGTATGGTATGTAAATTACATCCCAATAAAGCTATTAAAAAGTAATTACGATAACAATGGTAACTATCACTTATAAAGCACTTACCATGTACTAGGTACCAAAATAAGTGTTTCATACACATTATCTCATTTTTCAACATCACGAATTAGGCATTATTTTCTCCATATTGTGGATGAAGAAACCAAGACTCATTAAGTCTTAGTTGACTTTCCCAAGAAAACACAACTAATAAATGCCACAGCCTGGATTTCAATTCAGATCTTTCTGCTTCCAAAGCATGTGTTTTTCAGTTGCTTCTTATGGCTTAGAAGAAGATAAATCAAATTCCTATTAATTTTATTCCACAAAAGTTATTGACCATGTATTGTGTAGGTTTCATGTTTTCCAAAGTGGAGTGAGATGTTTCACAGGTGATCTTGAGAAAAAAATTTAACTTTTTTTTATTATGGTAAAATATACATAACATAAACTTTAACCTCCTGACCATTTTAAAATGTACTATTCAGTGGTATCAAGCACATTCACATTGTTGTACAACCATAACCATCATCCAACTCCAGAACTTTTTTATCTTGAGAAACAGAAACTCTGTACCCATTAAACAATAACTCCCTATTACCTCCTTCCCCGCCTCCTGTGCCTTTCTGTCTCTATGAATTTGACTTTTCTGTGTTCCTCATATAAGTGGAATTATGCAACATTTGTCCTTCTGTGACTGGCTTATTTCACTTAGCATAAAATCTTCAGGGTTCATCCATTTTGTAGCATGTGTCAGAATGTCTTTCGTTTTAAAGGTTGGATAACATTCTGTAGTACGTATGTACCACATTTTGTTTATCTATTCATCCATCAATGAACATTTAGGTTGTTTCCACCTTTTAGCTATTGTGAATAATGCTTCTATGAACACGGGTGTACAAATATCTGTTTAAGTCAAGTACTGCATGGAAGAACATTTTAAAATTTAATAGTTATGAAATTATTTTAATGTAATATAACCAGCACATCAAGTCTGCAGTATTGTAGATGTTATTGCTTAGGTCCACAGGGATTCTCAAATTCTGCACCACTGACATTTTGGGCCAAATAATTCTTTGTTGTGGGGGCTCTTCTGTTTAGCAGATGCCCTGGCCTCTACCTACAAGGTGCTAGCAGCACTCCCTTCAGCTGCGACAACCAAAAAGTGTCTCCAGACATTGCCAAGTGTCCCTTGGGGGTTGAAATTGCCCCCCAATTGAGAACCACTGATTTAGGCTGATGCTGAAGAATGTATTTAATTTAAAAAGTGAGTGAATTTAATGAAATGATTATCAATAATAAGTAGATAGTAAAGAGATATGGTCAGAATTATGAAGGTGATATGCAGGTGCTTGGAGATTAGGATTCCTGGGGCATGCTGGGCACTGCGCTAGGATATCCAAATACTCAGGCAGCTAAGATGAAGCCATTAACCTAGATGACGATATTAACTGGCCTCTGTCACTGGCTCATTCTAGTTTCTCATCTTCCCTCTTATTGATTCTCCACTTGGACTCTGCTCTAGACAACTGACTGGTATTCTTCCACTTAGAGGCTTCTGTCCCTGTAGTCCTCACCTACCTAGAATGCCACACCACCATCACTGTGACTTCAGCCCATAGACCTTCAAGGACCAGCTCAAATCTCCTAGAATCTAAATCAGAAGAAACTATCCCCTCCTCTGAATAATGTTCATGATATTGATTACACTTTATTGTTTACTGCTCAGTCCTTTTAGTCATCTCTTCAAGTATTTCCCCTTTGTCCTATATACGGATGGGACTCTGCTTTATGGTTCTCTTTCTCTCATCCTAAACGTCTTGCTCAGTTAAAATATTTATTCTCTTGTTAATTCAAATATGTGGTAAAACAAAATAGGGATCTCTGCTATGATGTAAACAGCTTAAAAGTAGCTCAAGAAGATGAAATTACGCAAGAAAGGTTGTGCAAAGCACTTACTTAATGCACAAGTTTTATTGACTCCTTCTGAGTTAACAGCATGAAGAACTATTTTTATTACTGTAATTAAGGGTGACATCAAGAAGATGAATGCATCGTGACTCAGAAGAAGTCATCTTTAGCCAACCACCTGTCTGACACTCTGTATGTATCTGATTATAAGGCTGGAACAGATTTTCTCCCGTGTGTATGTGTGTGTGTGTGTGTTTCATGAGCATTTTCAGTCCTGGGTTCTATGTATGTACATATAAGTGTTACCATATAATTCATCATCCAAACTGAGACGATTTGAGGGTGAAAGGGGGACACTGTTAAAATTTAGCCAGGACAATCGACATAAATCAATACAGCACTAGGCCTACACACCCTATGATTGTATTATAGACAACTTCACATGTAGGTTTAAGGAAGCAGCTCAGATCGTTGACAAGGTTATTATTCATCACTGTTTAACTAACCAGCAGGAAGCTTTCCTAATAACAAAAGAGGCTAACTATGAATTTCATCATAGTTTGTCCTCATGGAACCATTATATACATGCCAGGACTTAGAACTTCTAAACACACTTCATCTCTGTTATCAGTCAGCAGCTAGCCAGGAGGCCTGGCCATGAGGCCTTCAGAACTCACTGCCTAGACTTTACACAAGGCAGCACTGGGTGTGACAATAAAGTGACAATTTTGGATTCCTCACAGCCTGAGCTCTTTGGGTCTCAAGAGGAATTTCATGAGCCCCCAGGCTGCAGTTTCTAGTACTATACTATTCTCTCAGCCACAAACTTCCCCATAACCCTCAGAGTGGTTATGCTGATGAGGTCTGGTCTCAAAAACCTTCACTCAGTCCTCTGAACCCTCTATGGTAATGATATTTCTACAGAAAAGCTTCTCTCACCAGGTGGTAGATATGACTAGTAAAAAAAAAAATCCTGCACCTGCTGGGGGGATGAGTAAATGGAAACTTTGTACTTTCTGCCCAATTTTGCTATAAATCTAAAATTATTTTTTAAAAAATAAAGTCTATCTAAAAACAAATCCTGAATCCTGTGACCATTACTTTGGAGGGACAGAACTTAGAAAATGAATCCGCACTCAGAGAAAGGTTCTTAAACGGGCTCCTATAATAACTATGGCAAAAGTTTGTTAAGAGCTAAATACGCGGCAGACACTGTTTGACGCACTTTACGTCTACTAACTCATTTGTTCTTCACAGCACTCCGAGAGGGAAGTACAATTACTGTCATCGGAATTTTACAGAAGAAATGGGGCACAGAGAGGGGTGGTCTTGCCCAAGGTCACAAGGCTGGGAGACGTGTTGCCAGGATCCAAGCCCCAGCAGCAGAGGCACCCCGTTGCTTTCCCTCATCCACTAAAGAGACAGAATAATGAAAATGACAGGGTGAAATCACTGATTTTGCCAGAAGAGAATAAACAGAGCTTACTCTCTGCTCTGAATTGCTGCCTGCTGTCTCTCTGAGGACCTTGAGGACTTTCGCACATCCTGCTGAGAGGCCCCAGGTGAGTTTAGGGCCACTTCAGTAAAGTGATGGAGCTGTAGTCATTCCCGAATATGAGCGGGTACACACGCTGTCCCTCGTTCTTTATAACAAGGCACTCTTAATGCTTTCAGAAATGTACTTCACAGCCATATCCTAACTGCTCATTATCCCAGGCCAAGCCTCACCAAATCCTCAATCCCGACAGGGTACTAAGCCTAAAGGCAAAAATGAGTCCATTCTGCCTCCTAAATGGCTTCCTACAGAAATGCTTTATAGACAGAAACCAGAGACCAACAAGAAAACGGTTCTATGTGTCGCAGAGGATAATGGATCTTTATTTAAGCCAGCCAGAGCTGCGAAGAAGATGCACCTGTTCTTTCCCTCTTCCTCTTCTTCTTGGGCTCATTCTGCACCTTTTTTTGAACCTTGGTGACACAACTGCATTCTAGAATTCTTGAACTAGATGGACATCCCTTTCTGGAACTCTTGGCTGAAACTATGTTCCTGACATGGGTGGGGAAGGGGAATCCCTTTGCACAATGGTAGGTCCATCTGCAATTTACTCCCAACAGTGGCTTTCTGTGGCTCTGAATCAAGCTGGAGGAATCTTCCTGGATCTCAGAAGCCACTTTGTGCCTTTCAGGGCCTAACAAGACATCTTAGTCTCCTTTAGTAAGTGCAAGCAGGAAAAAACCTGTATTGGGTCAGGCCTGTTCCCCTGGCATGTGTGCAGACATGTGTACAGCCACCAAGCAGTACTATTTAAAGACACAAAAAAGTAGAAAACTATGGAGCAGAACCAAGTGCATGTATACACACGTGCACACACACACATCCCACTGGCAACAGATTTAAAGCTCTTTTCTGGAATTCCAAACTATTTTAACCCAAAGAGTCAAAACTATCGGGGGCCCTCACTAAAATCCTTTGATTGGGTTTTTCTTTCCCCAAATGTAAGAGAATATAGAGAAATAAATAAATGACGAGGTAAAACTTATTTTAGGTAACATGACAACGAATGAAAAATACAGCAACGGCAAAGGATTCTCCCTCCACCTTCACCCTAGGACACCCTGGGTGTGGGTTCTCTCAAAGACAGACCTAAGGATATGGGGCTAAATTCAGGCTTCAGGGGCTATTCCTGTTCATACCTTCACAATGGGGACTGGACTTCAGGAGATCCTGACAGATTTTCTGCAGTGGTTTCTGGTCCAGTGCTGATCAGCTTTCAAAGAGATATTTGGTCACACTCCATGAAACTTGAGCCACTGGATCCTTGGATGGGTGAACAGCAAAAAGGAAGCTCCATTTTTCCTTGTCATAATCCTGAAATATGTTAGAAAAAATTTAACACTGCTACAAATGCCATTTCCCTTCTCTGGCTAAATTGCTATTCCCATCTCATGCCCTGGTCTCTCTTCATGCCCTACTGTGCCTTGGTAGGGTGGCCCTGTCTGCCGTAAAGCAGTTGCATTTCAAGCCAGTCAAGTGTTCTATTCTTGGTAAAAGTACATCCCATTGTAAAAGCAGTTTCAGACTCACAGAATTTTAGAACTGGACCAAATTCCATAAATCGATGGGTGAATGGGTGGGGAACCAACCAGTCTTGATTGAATGTCCACTGCATGCCAGGCCCTGTTAGTGTTTACCAGAGTTATTTAATCTTATCATCAACTACTGTTACTCCCCGTTGCCAAATGAAAAAAAAAATAAGGATGCATGCATAAAGGGAAAGTGACTTGCTCGAGGCCATGCAACCTGTACTTGACAACAGGGACCTCAACTTTAGGTCTGATTCCAAAGGTTACATTCTTCCATGCTGCCTCCAAATGGGCAAGTGTCATCTCAAGGCCTGAAAGAGCAGTGGGAATATAACAGGTTCACACAGCCTGACACAACCCTATTACTCTTTTCTAGCTGGAAGGGGCCAGAGGCCTCCACATCCTTTCCTCTCCTTACGGCTTGGTGATTCACTATCCTCCCTCCTCTCTCCCGAGGCACAATCTCAAATTTTGCCCCCGGTATCCTGGACTACAGGTGAGTCCATTGGTCGGCCTGGAGCCATCAGACCCAGCAGCTGAGCTACCAGCCGGCCTTCCCCCCTCCCAACCCCAGACAACACTTGACCTTACCCAGCCCCCAAAATCAGCTTGCGGTCACAATTGCCTCCCTCTCTGCACCGCACTCGCATTAACATCAAACACGACCATCTTTTAGCACCCCCCCTTTTCCCCGCCCCCTCCGGGCAGGCTTCACCCTTTGGCGTCTTGGCCGACCGGCTTAAGACGTCAAGAATAACCAATTGTCTGGGAGCTCTTCGCTAAGGGCTTCGCCTCCACTCTGAGAAGCAGCTCCGCTGGCCAATGGGCTACCCTCTGGGTGTAGTGACCGCGCTGGGCTCGTAGAGCAGCTTCTGGGCCGCCCAATGAACGAGCGAGTTTCCGTGGTTAGGGGCGTGGCAGAAGCCGTCGTCAGGGGCGTGGCGGCAGTTGCTTGGGCGGGGCCGGTAGCGGCGGGAGCTGCGCTGGCCAGGGGTTCCGGCTGCATTTCCATGAGCGCCGCCGGCAGCCGCGGAGCTGAGGGAACAGGACTGACGGCGAGCTGGGCCGCTGTAGTCAACCACGCACAGGTAAAGCCACGGCCTAGAGAGCTCCGCTAAGCCGCGATCGAGCCTCGGATCAATCGGGCCAGACCCCTGAGCCCCGCGATCTCTGTCGTGGCTCGGCCCTTCGCGCCGCTGCCTGCGCGCCCCGGATCATCGGGGGCCTGTCACCTGGCGCCGCGGGGGTCCCCAGGCCCGGCCCTCAGTGGAGGGGAGGGAGGCAGCCTGGAACGCATCGGGTGGGATACGCCTTCCTGAAAGCCCTTTGTCCCCTCCAGCCTCAGGTACCGAGGTTGGGGACATCCCCGACTGCGGCCTCCCAGCCAGCCATCCCTCTACCGGTGCTCATTCTTGGGACCTCGGGGATCTGGAGATGGGGTCTGCTGGCTTTGTGATGGAGGTACGGGATACACACTTGTAAAGAAAGGGTCAAGGGGCCTGATTACAGCCCCGAATATCCTAGGGGCCTCTGCGTTTCTGGGCTCCAGAGGGAACCGATGGATTCTTGCTGTAGGGAGGCAGCTTTTGACCCATTTGGAGGCCCACTTATTGAGCTTGGCCCCGCTCCAGGCACTGTTCTAGGCGCTTCGTGGGCTTTCCCAACAGCGAGAGCTGTCCAGCAGCACAGGCCCTGCCAGGAGAGACAGCCAGCACCTCGACCTTGGAAGTGACCGGGCAGAGGCCAGGTGACAGCCGCCTGTCAGGGACGCCTAGAAAGGACTCCCAAGGGAGGACTGCATGACCCACCTGTAAGGCCCTTCTCCACTCACAGATGCACTTCGGGTGATTTTTAATGCCTAGCTTGAGAAGAATAGTGCTGGAGGTCCGTTAGTTTGAAAGTGGGTGTTGAATTCATCCATAATAAATTTTGTGGTCTCAGTTCTCAGGAGTAGATGTTAGCAAAGAGAATGGACCATACCACCAAGATAAGATTTATTTAGCCATCTTCAAACTCCTTAATTTGAACTGCCATGGGGCTCTCTGAATTTTCCCAGTTCCTCTCTTTTGGTTGGTTGCTCCACCTCCATTGTATCAGTTTCACCTGCATTCCAGTAACTGGATCCAAAGGCAGATTCCAAGATCAGATTCATGAGAGGGGCCTGGGGGATGGGGGTGGACTGTAGGTTTGGCAGAGTTAATGTGATCTGGCCCAGAGTAGAGTCCAAGAAAGAAATCTTACAGGACCCCTTTCACTACCTTTAGTCATTTGCCTGAATAGAGAGGACATAATAATCTTCTGAAGGTCAAGAGGCAGAGGAAGAACCTTAACACAAGTCGCTGCCTGTTTTAGGATGAATTAGCTTTTGAATAACCAGTCAGAAAACAGACCAGGCCCTACAATGCTGACCGTCAGCGTGGACTTTGTTTTAGAGCTGAAGATGCCTAAGACAGAGCTTATCTAATCTTTCTTCTCAGTGCACAGGTGAGGAAGTGAAGGCCCGGGGAGGTCACAGAATTGGCGGGTCATCCCAGAGCCATGACTAAGGGATGATCTGTTGACCCTGGATCTAGCCAGTGTATGACTTGTATTTTACTCCTAGCCTACTTATCTCACTCTGAGTGTTCAAATTCTAGGGGAGTGCAGAGACATTAAGAGCACAGATTTTGGTGCCAGAGTGCCTGGATTTGAATCCCAGCCCTGCTTCTTACTAGCTGTAACCTTGGGCAAGTTACTTAACCTCTTTGTGCCTCTGTTTACTCACCTATAAAACGGGAATAATAATGGTGCTTAGAAGATTGTTTTGAGGATTACTGTATCTGAAGCATTTAGAACAGTGCCTGGCACACAGTAACCACTGTGGATTTGCTAAATACAATCTTTTGTTGCCTTATAGTTTTTCTTCCTACCTACCACCCAATATTTTCTTTCAGAAGCTATTTTTCCCCTTGCCTCCTCTCCCCTAGTTTATTAACTATATTGCAGATTTCATTGTAGCACAGACATCTGTAGGGTTTTCCAAGTTACACTGCATTTTATTTCTGATTTTTCTGTCTTGTATTGAATCAGGTAATTTGTTTTCTCTGTTAGCACTCCCCTTGTAATTACACCCTTTTTAGGCTCCAAATCTCATTCTCTCTAAAAAGGGGGGGGGAGAAATCCCTCAAAGTGATAAACAACGTCCCTGATGATACCAGTCTCTATGGCATCCTTCCAAATAGCTATTCCTCTGTTCAGCCCTCCTTCCCAGTTGTCAGTGTGATGCAGCTTGATTATAAATGGGTGAACATTTTTAGATTAAGATTTCATGAGCCACCGTATTAAGTGCTTTTCGGAAGTTCAGGGATCGTGTGTCAAATGCATTTAAGTAAGTTACTTAGTCATTGAAGCAGGGGGAGCACCAACAGCGCCTTGCCTGGCCTGGCAGAAACACAAGTGTGTGACCAATTCTTGCTGGTAATCTCACTTGTTCACTGGTTTTACTGCATTTTAACCCCTGTTCTTTTCTTGAGCTTGAAATAAACCAGATGGCATGATGTGCAGGGGAACAGGCTTTTCTTCTCGTTTTATTGGGGGAAATTCCCTTTCCTTTTTACTTTCACCTTCATTTCCTTTATCACCTTCACAAGTCTGATAAATATCTACTCTCAGTTTGCCATCCAGTTCCCTTTTAATTAGAAGGTACTTCTCACCTTTATTTCTTGTGGGAATCTGGTCACTTTTGGTTTTCCCGTCTCTGTTTTTACATTTTCTAGAATGAACCAAAGATGATCACTGTTCATCAATTAGCACCTTCCTGAGCTCATTCTGAGTTGGGTTTTTTGTTTAGGACATTCTAGAGCTCAGCCATCTTAGAATAACTGTTTTAGTTTCTTGTTGTATTAATATGAGCCCCTTTCTCTCTCTCTCTGGCTCTCTTTTCTCATAACGTCTTGGTGAAAGGGCTTCTCATTTGCTGTTATTCCTTATTTCTTCTGCTTCCACCTTTCTCCTGGGAATCTCTGGTAGGGCCCACCGAGAGTATAGTGGTTCCTCACTTCCCTTGCCCCGAGCTGCCCAGAGCATGAAACAATTTCTTTGGTCCTACAGAAGACTGGGGTGAACTCTGTCTTATTTTTTGCCTAAAACCGGGCTCTTTGAAAAGTCCTAGGAGAGAGAGCCTTCCAGTATAATGGAATTTCACATAGCAAAATTTCTGCTATGACCTACTGCTTAGAACCTTACGATTTTTATTGCAGTATGGGTTTTGAGTACTCCTTGTCCAATTTAAGAGTGTAGGTAACTGGGGCATGGGCTGTAAGCCTTCCTGTTTCATCTTGTACAACACTGTCCCCAGAAACCAAGCTCAGGGAGTTCAGGCTGCCTCTAGGTGTGCTCTGGCTTTAGGATTTTATAGTGACTCTGCATATTCCAACCTTTTTGGCCAGTACATGACATTTTTAACCTTCATGCTGCTTTTTCTGTATTGATACCCTGCAGATGCTGACATTATCTTCGTCAAGGATCATTTTCATTTCTGCACGTTTGTTTTTGTTGTCTTGGTTCCAGGGCATCATGTTTTTGGATGAAACATTTTCTATTTATAAAATGGCTGGTGTGGACGATTGGACCTATTGTTATCCGTGAAGCTTGTGCTCTGGACCCAGTTGGGTGTAGGGCTTGTTACACGAGGACCCATTTTCTGATTTTTGGTGATAGTTAAGTAGCAGACAGATAAAGAGCTTATTAGAGAATTGGAACACTGGCACCCTTGGGTTTGCCTGGTTTCTGCTTTTCTTTTGTTGTCTTTAAGTGGAGGTTCATTAAGTTCAACAAACTGAGCATCTGGTGTGTGCCAGGAAGACAGCTGTCCAGATTAACAAGCATGTTTGGTTTGTTGCATAAAGATCATTTTGTTTTTATTTTACATTTAAAAATTTCAATGTTTTTAATTCAAAAAATTTTAATAGTTAATGCATTACATGATGAAAGAAAATATTCAAAAGGCACCAAAGTTAGGTAGTAAATACATCTCTGTCCACCCCTGACTCCTGCCACCTAGTTTTGAGCCACCAGTGTTACTGATTTCTCTATCCTGCAGAGGTATTCTGTTCACAGCCAAGATACCATATGTCTATTAGCAAATTGATTAGGACTATCTTTCCCTTTTATGCAAATTGTAGCATACTATACATCTATTTGGAACCTTGCCTTTTTTCACTTAGTGTTTCTTCGCAGTATGGAAAGAGCTTCCACGTCATTTTTTACGAAGGTAGCCTATTTTAGATATCTGTTTTCTCTTTCTAAGTCTGCTAAGAACTGGTTTTATTTAGGCAAGAGCTTCACATGGAGATCCTAAAGCATTTTGTGGGTATTTGGGGGCAAATATTTTTCTTCTCTACGTCCTGCAGCTCTGAGCCTGGGAAGAGTGTGGGTGAGGGTTTCTCCTGAAGGTCATCCATGAAGGGAGGGTGGGAGCATTGGAAAATGAGGAGCATTGGACCTTAGGCCTTTGCTTGTCCTTTGGACAGAATGTGCCCTTAAACAGTGCCAGCTGTTCTCTTGCTGGGCCCCAGAGAAAGCTTCTGGCCTTCCTGATACACCTGAGCATCTCTCCCACAGCTAATGTTGTCTCCTGCACCCCAGCCCTGGCTCTGTTTGTCCTCCTCTCTTTTGGGCACCAAAAAAAAAAAAAACAACTGCCCTTCTTGATGGGACTTCCTGTTCAGACAGCTTTGTTAAATGCCCCACCCCTTCCTTTCTCTCACCCCAGGAAAAACCAGGTCTCACACCTGCACCTCTGCGAAGCGTCTTTCCCAAACATTTGGGAATATGATTTTTGTTGCTCTCTTTAGGCGTGTTTCCCATTCTCCATATCACTTGAGCATTTCCAGGGTCTCTGACCCTCTCTCGGCCTCGCTGAGCTTTCGCTGGTGATGACCTTAAGAGTACAGGGGTTCTTGTGTAACCTCTCTAGGGCTGCACTTATGTTTTGTGTAACCACACTGATTTAAACATGTTCTTATGGTCTTCTGTGGCTCCGAGATATTGCCTGTTGTTTTGTTTCTCTCTTTTCTTCAAATGTGCCTTAATTTTCATCTTACTTTTA